ATTTGTGCCAGAAATTGACACTCTTCCAGTCACTGCCGTGCTTGGGTAGCTGTGCTCCAATACAGTATACAGTGTGCATAAAATATTCTCACAGTTAAATGTGGGCCAGAAGTGTAGGAGAGAGGAAAAAACGAGGGGGAAAAAAAAAAAAAAAAAAAAGAAAAAAAAAAAAAGAACCACCAGCAATGCAGTTAGGAATTCCAAGCTGCTGGTTATTAAAGTGCCCTTCGCTCACCTGCTCCATCCAAAGCACACTGTGGTGATTGGCGTTTGCTCCTGTAAGCGGGTATTGTGCGAGCAGTGGGCAGCTGGAACCCTCTGAGAATCTTCACTTGTCAGAGATGAATCAATCATCTCAAAGATGTCAGCATCTGCCCAAACCATTTTATATTAGAATAAATGGCAGATGGTGGTGTTTTTATATTTAATCAGTTCCACCAAATGCAGTTTCATCTCTTATAAAACTAAACCATCTGCAGTGTGTAGGTGTACAAATCTAGCTAAATGCCCACTGCAGAGCCTTTCCTCTTAAAGGTAAATGGTATGTGTTAACATTCGTGGATTCTAAGTTTGATACATTTCAAAAGCTTTGACAAACTGCTCTGTTTTTATAAATACCTTTATATTACTTCTATATTTCAAGTATTTAGTATCAGCGGTCTGTGCCTACCTTGCACTTCTGAAAATCACTGCTCGTGTTTGACAGAATTGAAATATTTTCTATGAAAAATCATTCCTCCCTTCTTTCTGTAAATACGGAAACCTCGGGTCCAGCCCTGTCTAACATGGCACAAGCACAATTTCAAGGATTTGTCCAGGACAAAAGGCCTCTATAGTGCTATAATTCAGAAAAGGAAAAGTCCTCTTTTCAGATCTGAAAGTCTTGATCTTAGGAAGGTTTTAATTTTAGCAAGGCTTTCAACACCGTCTCCCAGAGAAACCTTACAGACAAACTGATGAAGTGCAGAATAGGATGAGTGGACAGTGAGGGGGGCTGAAAACTGGCTGAGCTGTTGGGATTAAAGGGCTGTGACCAGCAGCATCAAGCCCAGGGGACCTGGCAGTAGCACAACCCCACAGAGCTCAGTACAGGGACCAGTGCTGTTTGACTTCATCATTAAGAACCTGGATGCTGAGACAGAGAGCATCTTCAGCAAGTCAGCTGCATGGAGACATCCATGGTACCAATATAAATTTCTCTAGCACCACATACGTGAAGCTTGACCAACAGCATGCTGGACAACAGCATGTCTCCTATACAAATAGACAGGATTTGATGGAGGTAAAAGGGGTAGCAGTGAAACAACCACACATCTTAGAACTGACTTAAGTCAGTTCTTCAAGGCTTTTCTGTTTTGCTCAGTCAGTACTGATGCTGGTGTGCAACAATCAGCACAAATCAGAACTACTGACTTATTTTTGGCACTGCTCAGACTTAAGCTAATAGAGAAATCACTCAGAAAGTCTAAAGGTTCCCCGAGTTTCATGAAGAAAAATGTTCTCTATCAGAAAGAAATACAATTCAACAATAGAAAACATTAAAAATATACTTAGTCATCTAATATTGCTACAGCTCTAGAAAGTGATCTGAAAATAAAAGCTTGCCACAAGTTCAGAAAAAAAGATCCCTTTCTGTCATAAAACTGCAGCACTAAAAGTAACATTTTCCCATTTTCCTTAGCACAGTGGCAGTATAGTGTCAGGTTTTTGTGTACTGTTAAACAACCCTCACTTTTCAGTCCAACTGGAGCTATACTTCACGGAATGGTTATAGACTACAAGAAACACGGAGGTTTAGGGAGGAAGCATTCTACAACTTTCCTATTTTTCTACATTAAAAAATGAAGACATGAAAAAATTAAATGAAGCTGAAATTCAGCCTCTGGAAATGCAGGAACAGAACATGTAAGCAAGGGCAGCAATCCCAGGTTTGCAGGGAAACGTGCAGCCCGCAGAGGCTGGATGCCCCGCCAACATCGGCAGAACAGGGACACAGTGGTGCCAAGAGCAGCTGGCAGGGAGAGGGCCCCACCTCACAGGGATTTGCACCTCCCACCCTAAAACCCACAGGAGAGGAGCGAAGCACGCCTGGCACTTAACAACCATTCTTTCCCAGTGTCCTATTTGGGGCAGCAGGCTGTGCTCCAGGTCACTTCCTTGGGCTTTGCACGGGTCTGCAGGGAAGTGGGGCACCCATCTGGGTTATCGCGGCATTTCCACTTGTGGCGATTCATGGAAAGCTTTTCTTCAGTGTCAACCCAAGCGCATTCACAAGCACTGCACTCAGGTTTCAGTCTGGGTTTGCCTGTCAAACACGGCTCATTTGAAACCGAGTGACTCCTGAAACTCCTGTTTGCTGCATGAAAGTGAAAACTGCTCCTATGCTGCATTGTTTAACAGGTTGTTCGCTTCTTTTTTTTTTCCTTTTTTTTTTTTTCTTTTTTTTCCTGTAATTGGAGATTTGAACACTTGTAATTGGAGAGCTGAACACTTTTTTGAGTTACTAATTGAGGTTGAGGCCTTGCCTTCCCCCTTGGTCAGCCTTTTTCAAGACCCTTTCAGCATCTATACACCTTACCAAATCCTCATTGCAATGTGGGAATCTCTTGTACTTTATGTTAGGCTGTCTTCACTGCACTTTGGTTCGATGCTGTTTGTGCTGATAAGCAGGGAAACAATGCCAAAAATCTATCTTTGAAAGAGACTCTTTGTAAGGATCGGTAGCTGGGCACCAGGGCAAGGCAATGAGAAGGCTAAATTCTAGAAAAAAAATCAGATTGACTGTAGTCTAGAGCCAGAGCCTGGGAATTTTTACTAGAAGCAGAAGAATGAAATGAAGCACTGATACGATCCTACAGAAAAACATACTTTGCCTTGATAAAATCACACAGATTAAGAAGCTGGGGAGGGCAAGTTAAGCAACAAAGAAATCAGACAAAGAGATGAAGAAGGCAGCGTGCCAGGGAAGGAAGCAGGAACCAAATGAAACCAAGCTTGTGTTTCAGAGAAGCTGTGTACCATGTGAGGATCACAGGCTGCTGAGGAGTTTCTGACACAAACATTAGGAACTTCAGGGAGTGGCAGGACATGGGGCAAACATAAGGCATAAGATATGATTTCTTCTTCTCAGAGAGAGAAAGATAGACATGCACGCATGCATATCTTTGCACAGAAGTGCACACTTAGTAAATTTGCATGTGCACATATATATATCTATATATACATACATGTACATGCACAGATGTGTTATTTCTTGTGTTATTTCACTAGAAAATTGACTGGTGTGCATAGAGTGCAAAGGGTGTTTGCCTGTTTGCTATCAGCTGCCACATCCCCGATGAATAAATTGTAAATTCACTTTTCCAGCAGCACCGAGGTTCTCAGAAAAGATGAGATGACGTTAGTCAGGAGCTTGTGGGGAGGCCAAAGGGGCTAATACAGCTGTGAAAGCATAACAGGCAGACAGGCTGTTTATTAGAAAACCACCAGAGAAGCCAAAGAAAAAGGCCGTGCTTCAAGCCACCCAGTAAAAATGAAGCTTGGGAGTGCACCACAAGCATGAAAGCACAGCTTAGCTCAGTCCTAGTGTCCCAGTGTCCTACCAATGCTGTGACACATCTTCAATAATGGCTTGCTACTTGTATAAAATACTTATTTGATTTGTTTTAACCAGCAAACAAATCATTGTTCCAAAGGGAAGGGCTCTGCAATATTAACTTAATGTAATAATCAAAGCTATTATTCAGGATTTCCAAACAGATTTTTTTCCTCCCAGAATTGCACAAGTGCATAAACACTCAATGCACAATATCTACATGCTTAGCTGCAAGAAACTGCTGTAATTATTTTAGCAGTGGATAATGCCATGAAGTGCTGGATTCAGCCACTGTTCTCAGATCATAGAAATTAAGATATATTCAGACATTATGGTCTACACAGACCCACAGAAAGAGCACTGATCATAACCCACTCAACAAGAACAAATAGACAGTACACATAACAAACCCAAACGATATTTTATGACTTAAAGATCTAATGACAGTACATTCAGAAGGCAAGAAAAAGATGGTAGGTGGGAAAAAAAAATACTGATATACGATAGCAGATCAGCTTTCCAGGGGAAAACTGCCAGAGACTGAAGGTACAGGACAGAAAGCACAAAGCTGTGTAGGCATAGGACAAACATCAAATTAGTAAATTGGTAGAGGAATGTGCCATGGCAGGGAAGACATCTGTAGGGCCCTGTAGTTGAGTTTGGGAAGATTTTGTTTGTTGTAGCCGAACAGGAAGCCAGAGAGTGGCATAAAGGGAAAGCAAAACTACTACTGGATCACTTCACCTACCGTTGTGTCAAGCCTCTATGTAACTCTCCACTTACAGATTTACCAGCTCACACATTCCTGACTGCAAATTTCTAACTGTGCCAATTGTGCAGAAAGCTTTCAGTTTGGCTCCACCAAAGCACTGTTCTGTTCACAGAGCAGAGCAATAGAGGAGGATAAAGCTCTCATTTTCTGTCACTGCCACTGCATGGCATCCAGCACACTGAGGGTGGTATCCGTACTGCAACACACCATGCATCCTGCAGCTCTGTGAGGGACCCAGATGCAGAAACAACTCCAGGATCCTGCCCTCCGGATAAAAGAAACCAGGTGCAACATGGCTACAAACAGCTTTGTCACTGGGGATAGGAAAGAGAGCAATGTCAATTGCATCAATATTGCTTCCCAGCTTATTTCTAGTGCAGTATGAACAGGCTGGAAGGCACATGACCTAACTGCCCAACTTAGGAAACACAGCAAGAAGGGAAGTAACGACAGAAGTGATGGAAGTCATAATAACATAGAGACTATGGAGCCTTTACAACTCTGGAAAATGAAGAAAATATGGGTAAAAGAGGGTGGGTATTGGTGTTCAGTTGCATTCAATTATCACAAATAAACTCTGGGAGAAGTAGAGCTGTTCTGCATTCATACCACTATAAATAAGAGCAGTCTTACCCAACATGATAACTATTTCTTCTGCTGGTTTCTTTTGGCTTGTTTCTTTCTCATCCCACAAAATGCTGCGTAACGGGCAAATGAACGCGGAGCTCTCTTACAATAAACTGGATGAGTGAACAGAGGAAAATGAATTTCTTTATGATGACTTCTACTATGAACAAAACCAGAATGCCTAACGAGTGCTGGAATGATAGATGGAGTTTGAAGACAGAGTCTATTATTATATTATGTTAAACTAAAACAGCTTTCTTGACTTAATACATTTATTCCAAATTTTGCACAGACAGAGATTGTGACTGGAATATACAGAGTCTACAGATTTATGGAGCAGGTTCTGGAAAACAAGGGGTTCTGTTTCTCTCGACACTTAGAACTAAACGGGGCCAATCACTGATTACACAACACATAGGGAAAAAAAAGTCTAACATTGCTAACAATTAATATGTCATATGAATAAATAGAAAATTCCTCTAATTTATGAGGTTTAAAAACAGAAATTCCTACCAGGGTTAGAATGACAGAGAGATAAATAAGGCTTTACAAGGACACTAACTAAATTATATAAAAATAGCAAAACTTGCTCTTGTTCAGTTTAACAGGAAATTAAAATTAATGTAACATGCAACAATTAGGACGTGTGTTCTCAGTGTTCTCAGTTTTTTTTAATATTTCATTTTGAAGTGGTATTTTGTCAATGCTGGTACCTTTGTACCTTTAAACAACAGCAGAAAAGTGCATATAATTATGAACGTGTCCAGATTCCTGTTCCAAAGTCACACTTCCAGTTTATAAGGATTGAGTTGAGCTGTCCAATGGGATCACAGAATCACCCGTGTTGGAAAAGACCTTCAAGATCTCTAAGTCCAGCCACCAATCTGACCTACTGAGTCCCATCATTAAACCATGTCTCTTAGCAGCAAGAATCCTTCATCCTTCACATCACAACTGGACAGCCCACCTCAAACCTAACAGATCACTGGACTATGATAACATTCTATCAGATGTATTCAAGGGCAGCAATCAGCACCTGTATTAAGGCATGATCAAAGCTTTTAAAGAACGCTTCCTATTGCCAAACTGTTACATCATTGCCCCCTGGCAAAAAGATAGGCACCAGACCAGAAACTGCTCTTATCTGAAATATTAATTCCTACAATGCTGTGTAAGAGCTCTGTTCAACTAATGAACTTATTTTGTAAGAGATTGGGTTTCATTTCAATGCTAAAAAAGAAAGCATACAAACATTTACATTTCAGAAGCCATTCTGAATGACGTTACTATGGAGCATTTGAGTGATATCAGAAAGTTACCATTTGCAGGACATTCCTCACAGTGCACATTTTGGAGAGTAGATAAGGACAATTGGGTTCTTCAGTTTGCAGTGGCTGGGAGATGGTGATATTTCTGGCTTGCAGATGGTAGGGAAGGAAGAGAGATACTGTTGCTGTCAATAGCACATAAAAGTAAAAGAAGTCCCATGTTCAGATTGCAAGCCTGTTCATGGAGCAGACTTTGCAGAACTCCAGTAACAACTCAGCTGAAAATGGTATTTCTTACCTGTGTTAGGGTCTACTAACAGGGAAGCCTTCACAGCTTTGATTCTGCTATCTTTTCTCTTTGCCTGATGAGGAATAAAGGAATGTCTTTTCTTTGATATCCCTGATTCCTTTATTCTCACTCATTATGTCTTTGTTGTATCCTACAGTGCAATACTAGAGGAATGGTGGAGCACATCACAAAATCTGTGTGCATTTGTTTATTTTATAGTTTTACAAAAACAGAAAATTGGAAACATGAATAAGGAAGAGAATGTCTGTCTGCAGGCATATAGGCATAAAATGAACAGAGGGTTACAGACTACTGCAAACATTTTCTGAATCACAAATTTTCACTTGAATTTTGACACTGAAATGTCAATCTTTCAAAATTTTTCTTTGTATAGATCCAAATGCTTAAATAGATAGTTTTTCACTTAACTTATGCCTGCTCACATGCTTAGCTGTTATTTCACCAATGGCGTAAATCTCCTGCACACAATTAATCTTGGTTTCCAGTGACTCCTGTGCCAGTCCCTCCTCAGCAAAAGTGGAGAAATGTTTGCACTAGAAACTAAGTGATCATGACTGTTTTCCCCAAAGTTGAAACCCAATTTTGTGAAGCCTATGTACCCAACTCTAATTTCAATTTCTGTTCCTGGAACATGTATTCAAAGTTAAAAGTTTTGCTGAAGAGAGATTGCCTCAAGCACACCTTCAATGCTTTGCTGAATCAAATCACAAATGCTGATTAAGATGGAAAGCTAATTCTTATCACAAGGAAGTCAAATGCAATCTTAGAAGACATCTACTTTTTAAGGTCAGATTCTAAGCTCTGATATATACTCTATCTGTAACATCTCCGAAAACACATGAGCACATCTGACAAACTGGGATGTGTGTTGTTGGCCACTCCCGTTTACTAGATGGGCTATCAGATTCGTATCAGACACGCAGCGCATTTCCTGGCTCCCCTAAGTGACCTACTTGAGCTTCCTATGTGGAAGGTTATGGTTTAACAAGCAAGGTGAATTCCCCACTTTGCACAGCCTGCACACACACAGCAGTGCAGTATAGAAGCTCCTAGTGAACACTTTACACTTGCAGCTATTGCAGCAGATGTCTTGAAAGGGCTTATGCATGACAATGCCTACCTGAAAGTAAAGCCACACCAATAGAATAAATTTAGAATAAATTCAGGACGTCCCCTGTCAGCTACAGAATACAAAATTTCTCCTCCAATTTTACCTCAGTGCAATTCCCATTGGTTTAATGAAATTATACGGAGAGCAAATCATGGCAAGGCTTTGGATGTGCAAGGAGGCAGTCAGTGTACCGACTCTGCAGTGGGAAAAATAGGCATCAGCTTTGCGAGAGACCTTTGTACATAATACAATGCCTTCCTACCACCTACCACATATACTGCAATAAAAACACTGCCTCCTGTCCTCTGAGCACAATTTGAAGAGCAAAATCACCTTGCCTTCTGTCAACTCGAACTAGGCAATGAAACCCAATATTACCTAACTTCTCACTCAGTCTCCTTGGAGAGCAGTGTTCGGATTTCTTTTCTCCATGGTACTACATCAGCCACTATTGCCAGTCTTCAGCCTTTGCTGGATCTATCACACAGCCCTCTGTACAAATGTTCACAAAGATTGCTTTCCATCCCAGGTCAGGATTTGATGCGCACCAAGAAGGCCTATAAAAGGAAGAGAACCATCAGACATCACGTCATGCAGAAACAACCCCCCAAAACAAGTTGGCTTTTTAGAGGAGATAATGGGCTTTGAACTTGGTAATTACCAGCTACTCCTGATGACTGTACATAAGGAAACCCACAAGCTCTTCTGTTCATAGAGGCTGCAGATGTAAACCCTTCATTATTGCTTCTGCTATACAAACGTTCTTTTGCTTTTCCATGTATTTAACCTTTATAATGGCAAAGAAACTCAATCTTTAAATCTGCTTTAATTATATTTCTTCTTGACTGTTGTAATAAGGCCTCTCGAGTGATGTCTTTATTTGTGGAGAAGGCAAAAGAGTTTTCGAAAAATCACTTTAAAACACTACCATGGCCCACAAAAGTATTTCTCTCACAGGACAAAACAGACAAAGAAACAAGACATTGTTTGCCCAGAAGAAAAAAAAAAAAAAAAAAAAAAAAAGCCTAAAAAGGAAAGAGGAATCCAGGAACCCAGTCAAATCACAAAGCGTCATGAAGATGGCATTGCAAACAGAATGACTCCTCCTAGCATAGACAGATCCATAGCTATCTGAATTGATTCTCATGTCAGGACAGTATAAGATTCAGAAAGGGAAAACTCTTCTCTGCCTCTCTCCCATTAGAAGTGTTTTTGGTTTTTTTTGGCACCATTTATGAAACCATTAAATTCCATTTGTAAAATGGCAGTATTTTTAAAGATATTCAAACATCTTAATCTTTGGAAAAAAGAAGATCAAGTACTTTTAAAAGTTAGGCCCCTGATCAGCTGGCAACGTGGTTAGATTTGAGGAAGAAGTAAAAGCAATTTCAGGCACTGTCTTCTTTTCCTCTGTTCATCGTCAATATATCTTTTTCGTATATTGCTCTAATTTAGACTGCAAGCTCTACTGAGCAGGAATATGTTTTCACATTTATAGAGTGCCCAATAAAATAATGGCACTAAACGTGTTTTGTAATAATAAGTAAAAAAGAAAAAAAATCAATGATTCAGTGAAATGATACTTTCCTCACACTAGCAATTGAAATTAATGCCTCCAGCAATAGCTGATGCTGCTATATCAATATCCGAGCTCCAGAAAGGCCCTCAAAATTGTGCTCATGTGTTTCTATAGCGTTTGCATTTTGGACTCCTGGAAAGTAATTGAATTGTGATAAAGCACTGCAGTACAAGATGTCTCTTGGCTCCTTGCTGACATGAAGGCACTATGCTTATCAGTGAATTAAAGGCAACTTTTTACGTTCAGATGGCTAAATCATTGCTGATATAATACTATTACACAAAATGGCTCGGATACGTGCAATGCACTCAGCAACTGTTTCACTATAAATGTCTGAACGCTGATGCTGTCCCTCCCTTTATTCAGGCCTTTTGTCCTCTCCCAGCTTTTCTAAGTGTTTCCCTGGCCCACATTGCAGGACACTGAGTGGTTTCAGGAATATCATTTGCTCTGCTGGTACATATGCAAAATGAACGCAAAATATGCAGCCAAGACAAGCTCTGGCAGACCTGAAAAGCAGAGCAGAAGAGATCATTTCGCCACTAGATTGTTACCGTTAAAATCTCTTCTATTTGCTAATTATACAACCAAGAGAGGGAGAAAACACCTTTTTTTTTTTCTTTCTTTTTTTTTTTTTTTTTTTTTTTTCCACTAAAGATATTTTCTTGTTATCATATAGAAGTTTCCAGGATGCCTTGTCCTTGTTTGAATCCTTAGGAATTGTTTTACCCACCCCATTTATACTGCACGAGGCCACTAAATAATGAGACTCATAAACCTTCATAATTAAGGAAAAATACAGCTAGCAGAGAAGCAGGCAGAGCCTTTTGGTGGCATAAAAGGACACCTCTAGCTAGTTAACAAGAATGGCCAAGGCATTCCTGATAATAAGTGAAATGATTCTAACAGCTGGTCTCATAAAATAGATCCCCAAATTAATACATTAAAGACAAACTTGAGTTGGTAGATTAGGGCACTCTTCTCAAGCAGTGAGAGCATTCGTTAAATTGCACATCAGATACCTATTGTCTGGATGTGGTACTGATAGCCTCATTGTAAATCTGATTCTCTAATATTCCTGGGATGCAATGCACTGCATTTTTTTCATCATTTCCTCTACATGTAAACTGATATCTTGCGTTGAAGCAGTACTATTTAAAACAAAAGGGTTTGATTTATAGCCAGTCCCCAGCCTCATAAATCACACCTGCAGTGTGGTGCTCTGAGCTCCCTGTGTTCTGCCAGCATTTACCTTTTATAAATGATTTGGGTTTACCTCCCATTGTGATGGAGTCTAATACAATTGCATTCTTTTCTCCCAGCATTCACTCTTGCTGTTGCTCATTATTCCCACTGGGAATTCAGACCTAGTTTTAGCAAGCTTGTCAGGGGGAGGGGATTCTTGGTGGTGAGTTGTTGATTTTTTATTTTTTTTTTTCCAAATTGAGGAGCACTGAATTAAACATTTATGTTGCCATTCTGTAGTGTTTTCTACTGCTAGATATACTATACAGTGGACTTTTTTTCCTTCCCATTGACGATGCTTAGATTTAAGTTCACATTAGCCATGCTAATGATTTGGAACTTAAGCAGGAGAGCGGCTTGAAATGTCCAAACACATAGACTGTTTGACCTTCTGTGTTACCAGGTACAGACATCATCAGCAATGGCACAGACTGCATAAGAAGTGGGAAAGCAAGGGAGGGCAAGGGAAGGCAAGGCAAATCAAAACTAATGACTTGACCTCTCCAGTGACTAATGTTCAAGGATTTTCTATTTAATTCTCAGAATGTACAGAATGTCCCAAAAGATGCTTATTTAGTAATCACGTCTCAAGTTCGCAATCGTATTACAGTTGTAAATGGTTAAGCACAGTTCAGGCTCTGGGATGCAAGGCTGGCAAGATGTTGTACATGTGCCTTGATTTCCCATGCACCAAAATACCAAATGATTTTTTTTGTTCAATTAATGACCATAATCATTTTTACTGTTATATAACAGTGTTGCTACCATCCATACCTACAGCCGGCAAAGAATTAATTTTAGTCTGAAATTGATAAAAGCCACAAGACCTAACTTTTATTTCTGTCACAAACACTCAGAACAGCTTAGATTCAGCTTTGAGTCTACTCTTAAAAGCTTTTAGAATAGACATCATTAGTTGATGAAATGGCTAAAAAATTGAGATTTGGAAGGCTGCAATGCGTGTCAACTGAGACCAGACTCAGACCTAAAGTAGCTGGAAAAATAGTTCCAAAACGAACAGTCGTTATTCAGAAAAGCTTCTCCCATTCCAGCATAACTCACAGGTGGACTGAAATAAGTGGACCTGTTCCAGTTCAATGAAGGATTAAGCTAAACGCTTCTACTTTCAAAGAAGATTAAGTGAAACAAGAAGACACTTTGATTCCCAAATTAGAACTGTCCACACATGGACAAGAAGCGCAAGAAGCGCTTTTTGCACTTTAAATGCAAGCCTTACTTTCATCCAAATTAACTTTCAAATGAAAGAAGAAAGCCTTAAATTACTGCTCCCACTGTCTGAAAAACTCACACAAAAGTATTTTTATGAGTAGTAGTCTTTTCAAGTTCATAGTGCGGGCATAAACATAATCAATTCTAACAGCTCTTGCTAGGTAATGAGTAGTCTAATTTTTAGAACCTATTTGAGACTTACAGTGTCTGATGTGCAAAAAATTAGTGATTTCAGTAGACTTAAAAAAAAAAACACAATGGATTCACATGTTCTAAATAACGACTAATTTTTCAGCAGTTCAAAACCTGATTTTCTTCTGAGCATAAAATACACAAATGACTTACAATTACCGAGAAACAAATAACTATTTTTAATGTCAATATTTTTCACCTGAGGTTTAGATTTCATAGATTTGTAACCCAAATTAGAGCTATGAGGAGAGAGTAATTCTGAAAATATTGTCCATCTCATATTTTATCTTATGGCAAGACTAGCTAGCAAAATCTCTACATGAACCTCCTCCCACTTCGGAGCTATCTTTGATCAACAAGTTAGTTTTACCAATGTATTTAACTGCAGCAGAGTGCAAATGTCCAAATGCTGGCACACACTTAAGGTTAAATTAAGTCTCTCTGCCTACCCTTGTGCTACCACAAGGTACTTTTGCAAAGGACGTGATTCCATGGACTATTCCAAGTACTCCATTCTGATTAGTTTTATTTAGTACCTTCATGTATTCACCCTCCCATGAAAAGAGGTCCTGGATTATGAACTCCATTCTGAAACATCTTCACATCCACAACATCCAAAGACAAATATCAAAGACTTCTGTTGGGAGTTTGGTCCAGTAGTACTTCAACTCCTTTTTATCTCATCTGTGTAGGAGGCAGCGTAGTCACAACATACAACATATCCTTATATGCTGGTTTCAAGAAAAACCTAAAATTTCAATGTTTCTTCTTGAAGGTAATGTCTTTGTACAAGATCCAATCAAAAATAAACCTGCAACAAATAAATATATTATGCTATGTAAAAAAAAAAAAGAGAGATTTTTAGATGAATATGTAAAGTCTGCTTTTCCTTCAAAATTGTTATTTTGGTTAACCTTGAGGCTTAATTTAAATGTTAGCAAATGTGCAAGATTTCTCTTTGCCTTTAAACGAACTGATATGTTTCAGTCAATGGTTTTGTTTATAACACGATACAGAAACTATAAGCTATATCTGGAACAGTGATCAACTCTGAGCACTTCTTGGATATTGGCACAACCAATCTAAAGAGGACTGCTAAACTTAGGTCCATTTGCACAGACAACTGAAGTAGTGGAAATGTGCAGTTTGGTTTGCATGCGCTGTTTTGACTTCTTCACGGAGAGCACTGAAGCCCACTAACTGGAAAGCTGTCCCTCTGCGATTCCTCATGTTAGCATTTTGGACATGATCCAGCCAGCTGGCTTCTAAGTTCACATTTGTATCACAAAAAGTCTTTCAATCCATCACGTTACTGGAATCCAAATACTGGCCCCAAATGCTCCTGTAACGGATCTATTGAAAATACATTGAAATATTCAGACCTTGCAAAGAAGGAGTGGCTATTTCCACTTCTCCTGAAGTTTGTTCACTCTCCTGGGAGACATCAATAAAAAAATTCAGCCTAGAAACTTGCAAAATAAATACTTGATAGAGCCATTAATATGCAATAATGATCAATATGGAGGACTTTCCTGGCAGTAAACTGTTAGCTGGAAGAACAATTAACTTCAAGAAATTTTAAAACATAGAGTATGATCTGAACATTATCAGTCCTTATTCTTACAATGCAGTCCTGATTTGTGGTAGTCAGATGTTCTCATCAACATTCTGTGCAAGTACTGTAACATACATACATGTTTCCTAGGTACAGTAATAAAGTACCATTTTTTAGATAATTTGTTACAGAGTTCTGCAAATACTACTTGCAAAACTATTTTTGAAGGGAAGGAAAAAAAAAAAAAAAAAGGAAAAAAAAGGAAAAAGCTGTTGCTTTCTTAAGAGCTTCAAATTTTAAGGCTGCATTGTGTGTTCCCAGTAAAAGTCTTGCTCCAGCACGGTAAGCAGGGGGCAAACAGGACTTGCTCTTAACATTTCAATAGGCTTATCTCCATCATTAGTGAAGTGTTCTTCCACTGGTGCTCAGTTGGATACTTTTTGTTGTTATTGTTATTATTCTTTTTCATTCAGAGAAAGAACTGATTCTTGTTCCGTGATCCTGCAGTTGATCTCAGTAGTTTGTAAAAATACTTACAAAACTTTGCCCATTCTCTGCAGCACACCCTAGCCACATTTCTCTGGTTGGGTTGTTACAAACCACTTGTCATTATCTCAAAACGCTTCTGCAACAGCAGGTACCATCACTGGCATCCCTCCGGAAATCTGAAGGTTTTAGTTTATACACAGAACCCTGTTTTCTAGAAAAATTCTTAGAACAGTGAAAAAGATTGCCAAAGCAAATAATAACCAAATGTCTCAACTGAACAAGAAATTAGTTATTCTCAGATGTTACAACAATCTCATCTTACCTAATTGTATGTGTTTTCTTGATAGGAACAATCAGTCTTGCTCTCACAAGAGGTCTTAAAGACAGTTTTAAAGAAGCCACCTGACAGAAAAAAGATCAATCTTGAATGAAAGAGCCTATAGCAAAAAATAATTTTCCATAGATGAAAGTTGATAGAGAAGGGTAAAGTATTTCTCAAAGGGTCAGTAACAGAATACACAGCTTTTCCCCTCTAGGTTGCTATCTCAGATTGAGCTGAAGTTGTCAATGATAAGAAGTGGTGAGTCTCCAAACACCAGTACACTGCAAGCATCCAAGAGGCAGTGATTATTTACAGCAGCATAGCACACTGAAAGGAGACAAAATAGAGGGAAATTACTGTTAGCTTTTAACATAACATGAAGACACATTTCTAGGTAGAATACAGCTAAGAGAAATCTAGTCTTCAGAGTGAGGTGGATTAGTGACCTAACAGTTTTTTTTCTACAAGATGCTTTCAGGCACAATAAAGACCAGTTTAGCATTCAGGACAAATGGAAATTTTCCTTAGACAACCATGTGAGATTGTTGCTGTCCTTTCAAACATTCATCAAAACTCCTCTATCACCCTAACCATTAAAAATTAATCATCTATAGTGGCTAGGTTCAGAGCAGCCAGCAAGGTGTTCATTAAATTCTTTTTAATTGAAATATGATTATTAAATTCAAAAAATCAATACCACAGTCACTATTTTGAAGTTACTCCAAGAGACTCTGAATCTCAATGATTATAAATCTAGCCTGTGTATCCTGCCTGTATCACTACCAGAACCATTGTTTTTGCATTTTATTGTTTTCTTTCAAATTACATGAAGCCTCTTCAGCCCTAAAGCTACGTCATCCTGTCAACTAGCTAGTGCATTGGATTCTGCTGCAGCTTGGGCTTTCAGGACTCTGCTGCAGAACAAAATGCCATCACAATCAATATCTGGAGAACTATGACACTGCTAGATGTGAGCTTGGCTCAGTGACTCCATTAGCACCATCAATACATGTCCAATGGCCGTAAGAGCAGCTCTGTGAGGTAGTAGCAGTCACTTCAGAAAAATCATTGACTGACTTAGTGGACAGACACAGAACTGACAATTAAATGAACTAACAGCTTCAATTCACTTGTTGTGATCAATTCAAGCTACAGCATAGTCACTGGGGGTAAAGGTAGAAGCAGCATGACCAAGCCTGATCCACAGCTTTCATTTTGTGACAGTCTCCCAGGCAAGAATTTTTCCATCAAAGGCAAATAAGACATCTTAAAAAGAAGTTTCACAGTTTATCTTAAAGGTGCTCTTTCAGACACACAGAAGATTTTGGCCAAGAAAACTACAGAACAATTAAGTGGAACAGCTGCTGAGTGGACTGCAGATCTGGTTTAGAGTGGGCAAGGAAACCTCCTGCATTTCAAACACAGCCTGCTGAGTATGTGCAGAGATCCCATACCTGGGTCTGGCTCCTTGCTGTTTCACATAGAAGCCATTTAAACCTGTGTAAAGACAGTTCCACAAGGCAAGGCAGTAGGGAGTTGGCCCACAATGCCAACACAGCAGCTTTGTGCCATTACATGCAGTCAAACCTACAATGTTTCAGCTATGCTCTTTTAGGCTCCTCCTCAATCACTGTTTTTCTTCATCCTGGATACAGGAATGGTTTATTTACTTTTCATATCCTATCCTGTCTGAAAAGGGAACCACAGTCCTTAAAACTGATAAAACAGTAAAGTCACACTGAAGTGGCTTTCTGAAACTCATCCAAGCCCTTCAGTTCAATTGATGCTGTTTCCTTTTAACATAGATGTGGCAGAGTTGAATAGACTCCCTGGAGACTCCACAGATATTTTCGGTAGTGACAAGTGCCCATCCCAAACACAACTTTCATCTTGTTCATCCCTCCTTGAATGCTAAGTAGCGCCTTTTCCTCTTACAATGAATCAAAACTGAGTCTGCATAACAAAAACACCTCCAACACTCCAAAATGCCTGAATTATTTTCTGTGTGTACTATTGCCACAATTATTCTCATTGTTAGATGCAGATTAACCCAAAACGACTGTGCACTGCCTTTTATCTGACCAGCACAGAAGTTGCACCAGCAGATATACATCTGTGCCAGGGGCAGCTTGCAGCATCCTAAAATTTAAAAGAAATACTAATAGAGAAAGTATCTACCCAGAGGACAGTAGGGATTTTGTGCCAGCCAGAAATTGCTGGTGTCCTAAAAAAAATAATTATTAACTTGTAAAATAAAGTGTCAACGTTATAGAAGATCTATCTAATTGCATAGGTCAAAAGTATCTTCAGAGAAAATTTATACTTTTTTTTTTTTTTTTTTCCTCCATCAGTAATTACATGCAAGTATGTGTAAGAATTCCCTAGGACTGGTCTGGTAACTCATTCGTATACCATAGGATCTCTGAGAATGCAAATTGAATGCAAAGCCATGGTTATTATGGAAGCACTAAGTTTGATTTTTGAACAATTGCCTGCATATATTTTCATCTAAAATTTTACACTACAACAATAACTTTTGGAGACTGTTTTTATGAAGTTTATGTATATATATATATATATATATATTTATTACAAGATTATCCTGAAGAAAACAATTAAGATGCATTGTTTGAGCATGATCACTTATTCAAACAAGCGCATCACTTACAGAACACATTCCCCTCACATTCCACATGCTCCAAGTTTATAGAAGTGTGTCTCTTCTTTCCACCAATTTGCATGCAGTCTGCAAATGTCTCTCCTAGTAGGAAATAAGCCCTACCTAGAGAAATGCTAGAGCCCTTTCTAATGTCTTTTTAAAGGGAGATGGGTCTGGGGATAAAATGCAAGGCCTGCAGACTGCACGCAATTCTCTTGCTTCACAGGCACAGTGGTCTGTCGGTGCAGCACTGCTGTACACGTGCAGCCCAGCTTGCCTTCAGCCCCGTGGCACAAGTGCAGCCCCAGGGCTGCTTCCCCCAGGCCCATAGCAGCAGGCTGGCTCCTGGCTCTAACACCCTGCCATCAGCCCTGCTGCAGCTCCCGCATATCTCGCAGTGCTGAGGGCTGATGGCCCACAGCTGCCAGTGCAGGGACACCGTGACAGCAGTGTGTACCTAGAATGTAAAAGGGGCTGAAGAATAACTCGCTCTGACAGATAACAGAGCCAATTAAAACCAGTGACATGATGCATGTGCAGCTCTACTGAAATCTATGAGAAAGGAATAGAAGTGTTATCCTGCTATCTCAGCTCAGAAGAGAATTTCTACTCTGTGGAGCATTGTATCAGTCAAAGAGTAGCAAAGACACAGTATTTTGTAATGTTATGAGATTTTGCAGTTGCATGACATATGCATTCAAAAGATAACAACTTCAGGTTCCTATTACTATGAAAGCACTAAGCTATGTTTAATAACTAGCGCAGCATCACCAATATTCCCGAAACCATTTTGTTTATCTTCTAGCATTGAATTTGATATGACCGGTAACACTTCAAGATTTGTTAAAATAGTTTATAAGGCAAATTTATAACCATGGAAGCTCCTGCAACTGCTCACGCCCATATACTAGAAAAACATGCATGTCACATTGTATTTGGCATGAATATTGACTGGTAGTAAAACATTGCAAAGCTAGTTCTAAGAACAATTTGCAGTTGTACTGAATGGCTGTATTATTAAATTTCATCTTGTTTAAGACAAAGTACAGCATGTCTTTCTACTTACTAAATTATTGTTATTACCTATATAGATTTATCTGTGCTGTGTCAAATAACTGTCAAATAACACACTCACTGACCCAAAAAGCGATTGATCAGCTAAACAACACAGGCAGATTCTGTATCCATACACAGTGCTGCAGTCTTTCCACAGTTTGTGGGCTTAAGACAAAACCAGCAGTAAAAATACAAGGGAAAAATAAATAAAAAAGCACCTCCAAAAGAAATTAATTAGAATGACTGGCCCAGGGTGCCCAGCAGCACGTCCAGGCAGCTTTTGGAGATCTCTAAGGAAGAGACACTCAGAGTCAGGCTGGACAGGGCTCTGGGCAACCTGATCTTGCTGCAGGTGTCCCTGTTCATTGCAAGGAAGCTGGACTAGATGGCCTTTAGAGGTCCCTGCCAACTCAAACAATTCTTTGATTCTCTTTGGGCAGCCTGTACCAGTGCTCCATCACCCACGCAGCACAGAAGTGCTCCTGGTGCTCAGACAGTGCCTCCTGTGTCTCTGCACATTTGAGTCTGCAGCCTGACAGAAAGATGACAGGGAACAACCAGTTTGGGTACTGGGCTTAGGGATAAGACAAGCAGACATTGCTATATGAGAAGACAGAAACTATTCCACACCTTTTTGTTCATAATCATGGGGTAGAACATACGCCTAGGAAACATTTTTTCACTCTTTTAATGCTCCTGTCATGAGGTTTGTGATAGAGATAGTGTTTGTGACAAGCTCAAATTGCTCCCTTCATGCTCTCCTATCCCCATCAGGAGATCAGTCTCAATGTTTCAAGTAATGGGCACACTATAAATAAATTACTGTGAAACTTCTGCAAACTGTCATCAGGAGAGGGCCAAAAAGCCTAATTTTTGTCATTATGGAAGCTTGGGGGCAGGAGTTTGAATCTTTGTTCTGTTGTGTCGCTGTTTTGTTATGTTTTTTTTTTTTTCCTCTGGTAAAATGTCAGTTTAATGTTTTTGGAAAGATTTTGCCTTCTTTTTTTTTTTTTTGTGGGCATATCATCAAAGCCTATTAGTGTAATACTTGCTATCATTCATTAACTGGAGAAAACTCGTTAAACACATGTCACTTCAAAACTGCGTGACATAACATGAAATTAAAATGACCTTTATTTTGGCACACTTCTGCACTGAGTTAGGGTATTAGTAAGTCCCAAGCGCTGCCTGTTTATGAATGCCAGTCAGGCTACTAGCATGGCTCTAATGTGCTCACAGATCGTGCAGCCTACAAGCAAATGCAGCTAATTGCAAACAGTGAAGTAACTGGATGTGGGGTGGGAGGATGGGGAGGTAAATCTACAGTTTACCAAGAAGGAAACCACTACTTTGAGACAATGGATT